ATGTTGACACCGATGCCTGGGACTGGGTTCGGGATCCAGTTGTTGCCCATTCATCAGCTCGTGGTCTCAGTGGAAAGGCAGAGGAAGAGCTGTTGGAGCTGTCATGCGATAGGACCCAGAGGATCCGGTTCCGTCAAGGTGTGTGTCATGGGTTGCGTTGGGCCTCCCGCACAACCCATCCCAAACGTTTGATTAGGTAGAGCTAAGGTACCCGGCCAGCCGATAGGGGTCATTTCACGCCTCAAACCACATTTTAGTCAGTGGGCTTTAGACCTTGGGGGAGAATAGACTCCTGCTCCGCGGATTTAGAACAGGGGCCATACAGTCCTACCAGTGCTACGAGTCTGTGTGTGCAAATTCCCGAGGTTGTTGTTAAGTCCACAGAAAAGTTAAGGCACCCTGTAAAGGAAGTGATCACTGGTGAGGGCCTGTTTGCTACAAGAGCACTCCAGGCCGGCCTAATAGATCTAACGATTAATTCTCCAGGTTGACAAACTCTCCCTTATAACTTACGGTACTGTGGCGCGAATGTGAGTGAATGACCTATCCATGCAAATTATAAGTCCAGTGTATGGAATTGTGCCAAATAAACGTAAGTGCAATTATCTGCCCGTATCTGTGACCCCTCTATTATTATTATTATCAAAGGTAATGACTGATTGGTTATGACAAAGTATAACCAATAACTTAGATGGATGTTGGAAGTTAATGGAATTCATTAAATCATCATATATCAAGTACACAACGCATTGATTGCCGGAAGCAGAGTGAAATTCTACGTAGTGATACACCATAATCTCCTGGGTAAGTAATCAGTGTGAAGGTATCTGAGTTCTACGGTAAGAAAACCACTTTCTTGCATTTAAAACCTAACAGTGTGCATGTAGACTTTTGGCCTTCTGTTCAACAGGAGTATCCTGAACTCGTTGCTACTGCTATAAAGATCTTGCTCCCTTTTCTAACTACGTACCTCTGCGAGGCATCTTTCTCAGCTATGACAGCCATGAAGACCAAGTTCAGGGCTCGGATGCATGTGGAGAATGACCTACGAGTATGCCTCTCGTCCATCCCTCCAAGGATAGAGAAGTTGTGCACTGAGACAGGCCCACACCTCGCATTAATAATAAAGAGACATTTGATATTGGTGTATGTAAGAGAGAGAGAGCTTGAATTGATGTGGATCTCCGATGCTATTTCCCTGGTGGGGATATGTTGCATTTATTGATTTTGCTTGTTATGTGGTCGAGAGTGACTACTCAGTACATGTGTATTGGGTGAAGGATGCTGTTTTATTCCTCCTATTTTTGGATTGTACTTTTTTATTTGAATTGTTCTTTTGAGTTTTGATACTATCAAAGGTGCCACTTGAGGATGGGGTTAAAGTTACTTTATGGTTATTGTTTGTGTGATTCACAGCTTTCCCTGAGTGTTAATATTCTGAAATGGTGCACAGATATATCTAATACATTTCTTTTGATTTGTGATTGTTTGTCCACATAACCTACTGTATATAGAAGTGTGAAAAATATGCCTAATGTAAAAAAAATTGGGGGGAATTATGTGAGGGGGTCCTCGGTTTATTTTCCCTCATATAAGGGCTCCTTGGTTGAAAAAAGTTTGAGAACCCCTGCTATAGAGAATAGTATATAGAACTACAGTACTAAGTTTGTATTGGTATTCACCGATGGGCGGAGGTGGTAGAGCGAGTGTGTGGTGGGTAGTGGAGCGAAGGAGGAGAGGGTGGGAGCGGAGGAGGGCTGGAGCGGAGGAGGGTAGTGAGTCCCTGAGACTCTGCGGCTGCCTCCTCCTCCTCCTGCTCTGACTGAGAGTTCCTCCACCGCTGCTTGCTCCTCCTCAGTTGAAGTTTGCTCCTCCTCCGATGTTGTTTGCTCCTCTTCGGCTGCCGGCTGTTGTGAAGAAGCTCCTTCTGCCGTCCGTGACAAAAAAATCTTCTTCTCCTTATAGATCTCAGTGTAACAACCAAAACTGTCATCAATGCTGCATTGAACCTTTGAGCTCCGTTCTCTGTTTGGGTCGTCATCTATAAGGATTTGCATTGCTTGCTGGAACATGTTCAACGAATCTGCCATTCTCTTGGAAATTAGCGTTCGCTGAGGTTCCTCTTCGTCGTCGTCTCGTCGTCGTCTTCAACGGGACTGTGTTCTGTTAATTGTTGCAGATCTTTGTTGGTGAACTCTTCTGTATGGGATGCCAAGACGTCCTCAATATCCTCTGATTCCAGCTCATGAAAGCCTGCCTGTCTAGCCAAGCTGAGGATATCCCTATCTCAGCTAGGAATAAGTCCGTGAATCCCTTAAAACTATTGACGCACTCTGACCACAGTTTATGCCACACACAATTCAGGCAACTTTATGAAACCTCTTCCCATGCCTTGCCAATGTTGTCAATTGCATGAAGAATGTTTAAGCCGCGCCAATATTCTCGGATCGTTGGTTTGTTTTCTCCGTCTGTAGCCTTGAGCAGCTGGGCCACGGTACGGTGTAAATAATACGCCTTGAATGCGGCGATGATACCTTGGTCCATAGGCTGCATCAGTGCTGTCGTGTTGGGAGGCAGGAATACAATTTTTACACTGTCATGCAAGTCGTCGAGATTGGGAGGATGAGCTGGAGCATTGTCAAGGCTCAGAAGAATTTTGAAGTTAAGGTTCTTCTTGGCACAGTATTCTTTCAGTGCAGGGACGGCGTACACGTTCAACCATTGACTAAATATGACGCCATTTATCCATGCCTTTTTGTTTGCCTTGTAAATGACAGGAAGGTGATCCTTAGAGTAACCTTTCAGTGCCCGTGGGTTGGCAGCGCAAGAAATCAGCATAGGCTTCAGCTTGAAGTCACTGGCAGCGTTCGCGCCAAGCAGCAGCGTCAAGCGGTCTTTTGCTGCTTTAAAACCTGGCGCTCTTTTCTCCTTCTTGGAGATATAGGTCCTCTTAGGCATCCTCTTCCAAAAGAGACCAGTCTCATCCACATTGAAAACTTGCTTCGGTGAGTAGCCTCCTTGCTGGATAATCCGTTTGAATTCTGACGGGAATGTCTCGGCAGCAACAGTATCTGAATTGGCAGCTTCACCAGTCATCTTAATATTGTGGAAGTTATAACGATGCTTAAATCGTTGAAACCATCCTCGGCTGGCCGTAAAGATCTCTTCCTTCGATCCTTCACCCTCTTCTGCCTTTAAGTCGTCAAACAAGGATCTGGCCTCATGCTGGATAACCATAATGCTCACAGAGGAATTTCGTTGATTCTGGTCCTCCATCCACATTGCCAGCATCTTTTCCACCTTTCCTATCACACAGCTACTAGTATGAGTCGCCTTAGGAGCACTCAGAGAAGAACCACTTCCAGCATTAACCTTAATCTTGTCAGCGTTGGTCTGGATAGTACGCACTGTTGTGGGGGTTAGACCAAGCACAGCGGGTATGTCCACAGCACGTTCCCCTTTTTCAAATCGGGTTAATACATCCATTTTCGTAGCCAGGGTAATGGTCTTACGGTGCCTCTTCACTACACTAGCATCAGTAGCACTTGGTAGGTGCTTGGAAGCCATTTTGAATGGTTAGAGTACAGTTTTAGAACAAAAACACTTAAGCATGCACGAATGATGTGAAGTCATAACAGAGACTGGCTTGGCGTCGCTTGGGGACGCTGTGATGTTTAGCGAGTGAGGGCAGCGGGCAGCGCACCGAGCCGCAGCCAGACAAGAGCGGGTGATGCGCCATAGAAAGTCGTCCGTGACGACGCAAAACGACGTAGTATCGAATTTTGGGTCTCTAAAGTTCAGCGACATAGTACCGAAACAACGCTAAGCGGGACGATGTTTAGCGGGGACTTATTGTATAACCATAATATCTCAGAGTAAAGTAAAATCTCCCCTCCAAAAATTCCAGCTTTCTAAGTTACCAGTTGTTCAAAAGTAGTAACATGATACTGTATTATACTGGATATTTAGGAAATCTGAGACACTTTATGAATTTCACCTGTTTGAGGAAAGTTTAGAGCAACCGACTCTTCATTTCAGTTTACCTAGTTGTTTGTGAGAATGGCAAGGATAGCATTCTGCAACAATTCCTAACTTTCATGGGGTTTTCCTAAATTAAATTGTAACTACTGGAGAGCAAGCAACTCTTACCTTGCTGTTGCAGAAATTTCTAGTTGCAAGTCACAGAAAGACAATAGCAACATTTGTAATTTCTGTTTATAAACTGGTCACCCTTTCATGTAACATAAAGGACTTTACTAAATACCTGTACAGTATATGGTTATTTTACCTGAGGTCACTAGTAGTAGCTAGAAGTATGTGCATGATATTTTAGCTTAAGGAGTTCATGAAGGTCGACATATTATAATGTGTGGCATAAACTTTACATTTTCAGTTAATGAAACCACAGTGTGGATATGGCCCTTGAATCACATAACAAAAATATTAATAGTATATAATTTATAAAGAAAATTCACAGTTAATATTCACTAATTGTGTCAGAGAATTTAAGTCTTATGACTAGTCAAAACTGTTTAAAATATATTGTATTAAAAGCGCTGTTCAAGTTATGAAAACAGAGGGATATTTAGCTGTTTCCTGGGCATCAGAGTGCTTCATAAACATCAATGCTTTTATAACTACAGAATCACTTCTCAATAGATCAAGCCATACTTAAGCTTGTATACAATAGAGATACTGTATTAGCTCTCTTCACAAAGTACAGTACATATTATATTTAGGCAATTTCCATTATTACAAGATTTAGCATTATGGAAAATTTGTATGGTACTGTATATATATATATATATGTATACATATATATATATATATATATATATATATATATATATATATATATATATATATATATATATATATATATATATATATATATATATATATATATATATATATATATATATATATATATATATATATATATATATATATATAAATAATAATTTAGGTGCTGTATATTATTCTCAGGTACACAAACTTACCTGGATGGTTGGGTAATCACACACTCTCATTCCTACATCAGCATGAGCTTTACGAGTGACATGTCTCTTGGCTACATCCAGACAGCCTAGGGAAATACCATTCCAGACGGCAGAGGAACACAGTAGGAAGTATGGGTCAGCGCACTCATCATTACTCTGAGGAATAAGTAAATTATCTTAATCTTACTATGATATAAAATGAGAATGTAAAATTTTTGAGAAATCACTATGATAAAATAATAACAGTGGACAGTTATCATATCCTACACAGAGGCTATAGTGATGATCAACACCACGTCTGTTTGTGGCTGAAGAAAAAAAATACACAGACAGTAGTTCTTAATCTTCGAAGTTCAGTTGCTGTTTATTCTTCTTACACACGTTACTTACCTTGGTGGACTGGAATTAAAATACTGTCAACACACATGTGTTTTGACTCCAGAAATAATTTACCTAATACCCTCAGGGAAGGAAGTCAGTGGCCTGTGCAGGAATCTCCAATTGTTTTTAATAGCTTTGTCCAGGGTTATTAATTTTCTCATTTCCTTAGCTTGTGTTATTAGACTGTTCCACGGGTCTACCATCCTCTACATGAAGAAGTATGAGTATATCCTTCCATTCATCCTGCACGACATCATGGTGAGCTTTACTTTAACTTGCCTACTTTTTTATCCTCTTCGCCACTGATCAGCTCGATAGCTGCTTGGGCGGTGGGGTCAAGTCTCTGTTGTATCTTCTCGTGTTGGTGGCATGTGACAACACAAAAAAATTGGCCTTAGTTTACATTTTTCATCTATTCCAAGATTTAGAATGTCTCTATGAGATCTGCCCTATCATGTATGAAGAGCTGTCAATCCTAAGGCTCTCATTCTATTTCGATACCAGTAATTATCTTTAAAGATAAGTCCCTGGACAGAGTCCATGAGTTCTGTTACCTTGGTGACAGACCAGTGTTGGAGGGGGTACTGAAACTAGGCTCAAATGCAAGAGACAGATGTGGGTGGAGGAAGTTTGGGGAGTTGTTACCTATATTACCAACAAAAGGATCTTGCCTCCACACGAAATGAAAGATGTATGCAATTGCCGTGAGAAGTGTGATGTTGTATGACAGTGAAGGTAAATCAGGCAAATAAATTATTGGGTCTTATAAGAAGGTCGTTCAGATATCTAGACGGTCCGTCCCTTGTAACGATCTTCAAGAGTGAAGTGCTTCCCCATCCGGAGTACTGTCACCCCGTCTGGTCCCCGAGATATGCTAGGGACTGTCAGTTGGTTGAAAATGTTCAAAGGAGGGCCACCAGACTGGTGCCTTCCCTTCGGCATCTCAGGTACCCTGAGATATTGGAGCGCCTGAACTTGCCTAGCTTATACTACAGACGGGCAAGGGGTGACCTAATTGAGGTGTATAAGCATCTCAAGGGGCACTACTCAGTCGAGTGTCCTTACTTGGAGCTGGCGGACGCTCGCCCCACAAGGGGCCACAGATCAAGATTGAAGAAGCCACAAGTCCAGAAAACTGTGAGGGCAAACTTTTTCGGAGTGAGAGTTGTGAACTCTTGGAACAATCTACCAGAGAGTGTTGTTGACGGCACCGAGTGTGAGCTCTTTCAAGACAAGACTTGACCAACACTGGAACGGGTTCAGGTACATTCAGGAGCCGGTGCATGCCCAGTACTTGCCGACAGTGCATAACAGAGACGTGACCGATCGCCCTAGCGGCTAACGAGCCGATCAGTGGTGAAGAGGATAAAAGTGAAAAAGTGAAAATGGGCAGTTAAAAGAGGATGACATAAGCAAACTTGAGTGAACTGAAATGGGAATGGTAATGTGAATGTACAATATACAGTAATACCAAAAGACAAGAAACCGTGTTTAGAGCTAAGAGGACAGTTTGGTACTGAGAGTACAGTATTGACAAAGTTTAGCATAGAGGTAGGCTGAGATGGTTTAGTAGTGTGGAGAGAATGGATGGGACCAACTGGGTCAAGGGATGGACGAGTCTAAGTGTGGGGGGAGGAGAACCAGCAGCAGGCCAAAAATGACATGGTCACATGGGGAGAGATTATAAGAAATGGTATTAGAGTCAACTTGAGAAGAGAAGCTACAAAAATGCATTATGGACAGTAACCATCAGGTAATAACACCTAACGCATGTAAGTATGGAGAACGGCTGTATAATGTTGATGACGATTATTGATGATGATGTTTTGTTAAAAATAAGATTAATTCTAGACTGAGAAAATCAATTTGCTGAAATACAATATTAAGTTAACACTCCTGAATGGATCAGAAGCACAGACACTTTCAACAGACATCATGGAGATTCTAGCCTTTGAAAAATGGTGCTACTGAAGTGAATCCTCTCCCCTACAACTGCTGATTGGTCACTTGCCGTCCGCTTACCAGCCAACCAGCGGCGAGTTCCACAAATCAGCCCTCGTGTTCGAACTGCACGGTGATTGGTCAGTTGCCGCCTTCATCTTAGCCAATCAGCAGCATTTCTCATCTTTGCATTTCGATTCTTGATCCGGCATAATGATATGAATACCTCATGCCTCACCGTCCTCATCCCTGCCCTCCCACTCAGCATTACATGCAATAGCCCTCTACCTTATCTACAGACGTCAAGTCAAGACAAGAAACATTTGGGTTGAGCCCCAAGACCTAGCATCCTACTTCTACTTTCCAATTTCCTCGCCTTTCTTCTTGCACTTTCCACCAACCCCAAGTCCCTCCAAATTCCACCATCATTCTTCAAATCTAGTTCCCGCACCAGCATCAAGATCTCTTTACACTTTACTTCTCCCATCGATCAATCGAAGGTCAGCCCGGCAAATCAACAGCAATAATGGCACAACATACTGCCAACGCAATAGAGAAAATCAACCAGTACGAAAAAAAGTGGAAGATACAAACGAATACCAACAAGTTCAAAATAATACCAATCGCTATAAAAAAAAAGACCCCATTATAGTAAACAACAAAGTAATTCCATGTGCCATGGAAGGCACTGTCCTGGGGCTGAAGATAACAACAAAAGGCGACAAAACATTCATCACCGAAAAACTTGCAAAAACCAGAAACATGGTAACTAAATTAAAACGCTTCAGAAGCCTGTCAGCAAAAAACAAGTTAAAGTTATATAGAGCCTTTGTCCAATCCCGACTAGTATATCCACCAATTCCCCTACATGCAATAAAACAAACAAACCTAAAGAAACTGCAGACAATTCAAAACTTAGCCCTGAGGGATGTATATAACATCATATATCCTGACATAGTCACCAACCGTCAACTACACCAACGAGCCCAAATAGAACCCCTAAACGTTTACCTACACCAACACTCAAAAAGAATATGGACAAAGTTAGAAGAAATAGAGCCAGGACCAATCACAGAATGGATGGAAGAGACAGAAGAAGGAAGAAGAGAACACTCGTGGTTCCCTCGCGGTAAAAGAAGAGCCCTAGAACCCACACCAATTCCACTCTATTGAAAGATGCAACGTTACCCCAGTGATAACCTTGGCAGCCCTACCACTTTATAAAAAGACGGGATGTTCTTAGCCATAACACAAGTACCTGCCCAAGACTCCCCACTATTGGCTAGGACACAAGACCCGAAAATGTAAGTCATAAAATTGCAACACTTGCTAAACATACAAACACCTAACATAAATATAACACCTAAAACTAAAGTTAGCTGAAACACAAACATGAGAAAACAGAAGCACTTGGGTTGAGCCCCAAGACCTAGCATCCTACTATTACTTTCCAATTTCCTCACCTTTCTTCTTGCACTATCCACCAACCCCAAGTCCCTCCAAATTCCACCATCATTCTTCAAGTCCAGTTCCCGCACCAACATCAAGATCTCTTCACACTTTACTTCACCCATTGATTCGATTCGAAGGTCAGACAAAAAATAATAATTATAAAAAATAATAATAAAAATAAGAAATAAATAAGTAAAAAGTATAATAAGCAGCACTATGTAAAAAAACCAATACTAATACAAAGGTCTGACGACCCAAAGGAGCAGAACAAAGAAAAAATATAGAAAAGATGAAGCAATCTGGTCGAGTCCAGATTCTTTTTACTCCTACTGTATTTCAGTTTCACCACTTTTCTTCAATCCTTAATAATCTTCTTTCACCTCATAACTCATGACTCCAAAGCCAAGAAGGTCACACAACACAACGCTGTTAAGCAGAGAAGACCTCCTCTAAAGAAGCTCCTCCACAGCAACACCTCTACCAAGCAGCAACTTCCCAGCACCAGACTGATCCATCCTCAATGCGAGATCTCCTACATGTACGTATGTATGTAAGCCTAACAAAGAGAAAATACACAAACACAAAGAGAAATTAGAGAACTAGCCACATACACTACACTACACTATGGAACGTAAAATATAAGTCATAATAATGTAATAGAAAAACAAATGAAGAAGTACATTACATACTAAGACGAGTTAGATCTATGAAAAAATTATGGGAATACAGTATTTAGGAGAAAGGGGAAAATGGTAGGTAGGTGAATGCTAAATATTGAAGGTAAAATAACCTGGAGAGACTTTGCACAAGTTTTGGATCAAAAACAATATATTTATATTTTATTTTTACAAGTACAGTACATACAACACAAAACAATCATACAGTATATAACCTACCAAACGACCATCACCAGGTGGGCCAACCATTCTATCCAGGTTAAACTTGCCCTCAATAACCAGTGGGCCTGACATGTTGCCGTGCATCCCCAGCGCCTTCCAGTCATCTGTATTTGCACGTATTTCATCCTGTGAAGAGCAAAATGGCTTCAGTCTATTAGGGTACATGATCTTACTACGTTGAATCCTTGAACACTTCTTCAACCCTCTATACTGTATCCAAGAAACTCCTCCCTGGCTCTACTTGATCTTTTCATAACTCTCAACATTTCATTTTTTTTGTATCTACTTATAATTCTTTATTTTTTACTCACCTTAAAAACGAGGAAGCAGGAAAGGTTAGAAAAGTCACCATTATGATTGGGACTGATGGTCTGAACAGTGTACCAGTCAGCGTAACCAGCACTAGTGGACCACGCTCCATACTTTAGGAGTTGTATGTTATCATCATCAACATACTTTACCTTGGAAGACAGTGGATACCAGTTGTGTCCACCTGAAAGAAAGTAACAAATACTAAAGGTTACAGTACTTTCAGTATGTGAACAAGAGCAGTGAAGCCATGTTTAAAGATTTACTGTACTGTATTCATAAAAGAATTACAGTTGGATGTACTGGTGGAAGAGTGGGAATTATAAAGTTGGAAGAGAATACATAAATTAATATGAACAGGAAAAATTAGGAATATTGCAACCAGATGATGATTATGAATCATCAACACTTCATTTTGACTTTATGCATTTTGCGAGATAATCATTGATAAAACAGAAATGAGACCAGGGCATGTTATAGCAAGTGGTTTCTGTGATATGATAAAGACAATACAGTACAGTATTATGTTAGGAGTGAAAGTGTAACCAATACAACACACCTGATTGTACTAAGTTTGGTTGAGATCCACATAATGTAAGTAAAGTACAGGTACTAGCTAAAAATATTATATGTAAAAATTGTGATATCTCGGGAGGGTTGGCATGCGTGTCTTCACCCACCACTATTCAGTATCCAACACAGGAGGTGAGTTGGCATATAGAAATAAAATAAACGGTTGAGTGATTACTGTCACATTAACACATAGTATAAGGAGACAACATGCATATCCCAATACCTATTGTCCTTGGTCTCGTATTTTTCCACACAGAGTATGCACAGATACTATTTTTTAGCTACAGTACATTACCACGAAACAATATTTCATTCAAGAAGGAGAGTATGATGCAAATACCTATTTTTAGCAACAGTGATCTTCACCTTTGACCTCACAGCAGGATGATGCTATTAAATTGCCTGGCACCACTGCTGGCGTCCACACCGAGCCTGCCCCTTCCCCGGCTGCCCCCGTCCACCCACCGCGCGCTCATGGACCCGAGGACACCACCCCCGGCTCCCCGTCCCCCACCGGCATGCCGGCACCTGGGGCCCATCCACTCCAGTTCTCCACATCAATTGACCACCATGAGGACATGCTAGTGGACTACGTATCTACACCAAGAAGGACGTCCCCTACCAACCTCTCGACGTCCCCCTTGACGCCGACACTACCGACGTACACACCATCACAATCACACTAAAAGGTATGTCCCTCAATACTGCCTATGGCTATGGCCTGGCACTTGACATTATTAGGGACCTGCCACGCTTTGGCATAAACAGATAAATTGTACCGGGAAATTTTCCCCCACACATTCATCATTCTGTCACTTTATATAACTTGCTGACAAAACCCATGACCCTTCAGGCTTTTACGCCCTTAATGCATGAGTCATAGAGGCAAAGCATGAACTCCGCATGCTTCCCAGAAGGGCGCTGTAAACGCTTATGCGCTTCACCTTGCACAGGATGTAAGGGGGTGCCCAATAAACTAGCTCCCTCCGGGGCAATCTAAAAAAAATCTAAATTGTCCTTTTCTGTCTGTCAAAATTCTAAAGACTTAGAGTAAATGGGAGAAGAAATTATGAAGGGTAAAACACACAGTACACTAAAACATAAAAGTTACAGATAACATTGAGGGTTCAGCTGACCCTCCCTTTCCTCTCCAAGTACTAATATTTCTAATCCTTTAATTCTTATAATAATTCTTATAATAATAATAAAAATAATAATAATAATAATAATAATAATAATAATAATAATAATAATAATAATAATAATAATAATAATAATAATAATAATAATAATAAAAATAATAATATTAATAATAATAATAATAATAATAATAATAATAATAATTATAATAATAATAATGATGATGTGATTAGAACACCGCTACCGCCATAAAGCGTTGTTCGATTTCGTTCATTTTTTCCACAGATGTTCTTATTTTTTATCATCTTCGCCACTGATCGGCTCGTAAGCCGCTTGGGTGGTTGGTCACGTCTCTATTATGCACTGTTGGGAAGTACTGGGCATGCAATGGCTCCTGGATGTATCAGAACCTGCTGAACCTGCTCCAGTGTTGGTCAAGTCTGGTCTTGAAACAGCTCACACTCGGTGCCGTCACAACACTTTCTGGTAGATTGTTCCAAGAGTTCACAACTCTCACTCCGAAAAAGTTTGCCCTCACAGTGTTTTGGACCTGCGGCTTCTTCAATCTTGAGCTGTGACCCCTTGTGGGGCGAGCGTCCGCCAGCTCCAGGTAAGGACACTCGACTGAGTAGTGCCCCCTGAGATGCTTATACACCTCAATTAGGCCGCCCCTTGCCCGTCTGTAGTATAAGCTAGGCAAGTTCAGGCGCTCCAATCTCTCAGGATAGTTGAGGTGCCGAAGTGCAGGCACCAGTCAGGTGGCCCTCCTTTGAACATTTTCAACCAACTGACAGTCCATAGCATATCTCGGGGACCAGACGGGGTGACAGTACTCCGGATGGGGAAGCACTTCACTCTTGAAGATCGTTACGAGGACGAACCGTTTAGATATCTGAACGACCTTCTTATAAGACCCAATAATTTATTTGCCTGATTTACCTTCTTCTCGCAATGGCCCGAGAACTTCAGCTCATTGTCAACATACACACCTAGGTCCTTCTCACATTCAGTCTCAAATAGTGTAGTTTCTTCATCCCGTTGGGACATATGATACACCTCCTTACTGTTAGTACGACCCAAATGCATCCTCTTACACTTCGTGACATTGAATCTTAGCAGCCATTTCTTCGACCACTCTTGAAGCTCACAGAGATCTTTCTGCAGCTGTACACAGTCTGTTTGGTTCTTAATTTCCCTAAATAACTTGGCATCATCTGGAAACATTTGTATGGAGGAATGTATAGCTTATGAGATGTCATTTATGAAACAAACAAACAACAATGGACCTAATACACTGCCCTGTGGTACCCCGTTTGTCACAGGTACACATGACGATTTCGTACCATTAACCACTACACACTGCTTGTGATCATGCAGAAAGTCGCCAGTCCACACTAGGACACTTCCATGAATCCTGTACCCTTCCAGTTTAATTCTCAGCCTTTCTTGAGGTACGCTGTCGAAAGCCTTGGCAAAATCTAGGTATATATTGTCGATATTGCCACCTTGTTCCGGAATTTGGGTCCAAACATCCTGTACCTTGAGTAATTGTAGTAGATGTTTCATCATGGCATCTCTTATAATGATCTCAATTATTTTACACACTATGCTGGTCTATAATTATTCATGGAGTGACGATCGCCCTTCTTGAATATAGGACTCACATAAGCCATTTTCCAGTCATCAGGGACCTTTTGCTCATCCAGACATTTGCAGAACAGGATCTTAAGGGACTCCACAAGCTCGTTACACAGTTCTCTTAACAGTCTGGGGTGTACCATATCAGGGCTGGGACTCTTGTAAATCTTTAACTTTGATAATTTATTTCTTATATCCTCTTCTGAGAACACAATGTGGGTCATCACTGTGTCAAACCGTCTTTCCTCAAATGCAGGATGATTATTCACATCATCTCTTATGGATACCGAGGAAAAGACTTTGTTCAACACTTCCGCCTTTTCCTGGTTAAAATCTGCATGACGACCATATTCGAGCCACTTGTTTAAAGTGGGCAGGACTTTGAAGTCGAGGGAAAACGTGGGGTAAAATATTAAAATAACACCAAAAATACCTTTGAAAACCTGACCTAACATTACCTAATTTGTAAAAATCCTAAAACTATAAGAAGTTTACCTTATTCACGTTTTCAGTGTTCAGTAGGTGAAGGTGTTTTTAGATAGGAAGTATTGGGTCAGGTTTTCAAAGGTTTCTTTGGTGTTATTTGCAGTATTTTATCCCACATTTTCCCTCTACTCCAAAGCCCTGCTCACTTTAAACAAATAATATTGTTGGTAGTTTTATCTATTAAAATACTAGGAAAATATAAATTTCCGGCGGAAATACCATAGAATAAAAGTGGCTTAGAATAGTCTGAACTTTGTAAAAATTTTATATTTTATGGAAAAATCGAAACTTGGCTATTATCATAAATTGATCCAGATAATTATCGACTGACCCTCGGCTGATTTTTCATAGTAAACGATTATAAAAACGCCACAATTTCACTATGTTTTATAGTGGACACCTTAGTTGACATGAAAAACAAGCAGCAGAAGCATTGATTGTTAGAAGACACCACCAACCTAACCAAACAAATTTACCTAACCTTACATAACTTCCTAGTCAGGAGGCTCCGCCTCCTGGGCCCACAGGTATATTAAACAGAAAGAGCTTACAAGGAAGTAGTGTCATTTTAATTTTTTTGTGGACGTGGAAGCAACCGTCCGTACCGAACAGTTCTTAAGCATAAACTTAGCATCGGCGTTGATCAAGCCCTGGCGGCAGAGTGTTTTGAAATACGTTAATATGATTGGCTGTTTACATCCTGGAATGAGACGTCACCGCCGCATTACCGCCGAGAAGACAATGTAGTGCACGCCTTGGCACCTAATTATCTACCAAACGAAGCATTTGCACAAGAAATATTTATCACATCAGAACTCACTGATGAAAATAAAGTAAGAATATAAACAGTAAAACAAATAACTCCTCCGCGGGTCAGTCGTCAATATTAACCTGGATCCCCAAATACTTCCTGGAATGCTAATAACGTCTGTGGAAAAAGTGGAAAAAACGAACAACTCCCTCGGGTGGTAGCAGTGTTTTCAAAAGTTACCTAAAATACCAGTACAAATTGCATAAGAAAACCTACAAAGAGAATCTGCCGATTAAGAAAAAAAAACAAAGTTCAAAATCTATACAGCAATGCCTCCTAATAGGACGCTGAGGAGTATGACCGACGTGCGCCACTGTTGATTAGCAAGTTCTATCTTTCATATTTTTTAGTGTCTAGACAATTGTATTACTAACCTTGTTATACGCTGAAAATCCTTCAGTGTTGAGGCGTAGTAATAACATTATAACAATAACAACTATTGTCATGTTATTCCACCAAATACAGACCTATCAGTCCTCTCTCCCATCCATGATCCCTGAGACTCATGAACCTATGAGTCCGAGACATCACACATTGCGCCATCTTTGGGCCTCAAACACCCACTGTGTGATATCTCGGATTCATAGGTTCGTTAGTCTCGGGATGTGAGAGTGGGAGTAGTATACTGCACTAACCTGTACTTTTAATGTAATAGTTTTATTGTCAATAAAGTAATTCAAATTTCAGCCCATAACACTGGTCAGATAAAAAAAATAGGGGGGGGGGGTTACAGCGCCCTCTCAAAACCCCCAGCTGGATGGGTTTGCTGCGCTCGCCATGCTCCCCCACCCACGACTTCTTGGACCCCCCTTTTGGTATTCTTGGATTCGCCCCTGTACACTCTCTCAAATTGCAACAGTACAATATTATTCATGTCAAACAGAGTATAATAAATATCAAACTAAGAAACATATTTCACAGAGAGAAATTTACCTGTAGCAGGATCAGAATAGGAGAGACCCCCAATTAGTTTGTCCTTGTCCAAGCGTGTAAGAACATCCTTACTTCGGAGATTATTTTGACAACGGAAGAGTAGAGTAGCAACGGCTCCCAAATGCATGGCTAGTCAGTATAAGAAAATTGGTGAAGTTTAAAATTGATAAACTGTACTGCATACCCTAAGCATTCTTTATACATCAAGCAATAACAATAAAATACTTAATGTGCATGGGGACAGAAACATCCAGTGAGGTTCAAATATTTCTCTAATACATGCAATCTACAGTATATATCCTTTATTACACTGTTATATTAAGAGTCACCATTAAGAGGTGGTGACGTAGGTTATCACATAATAATACTCACTATAAACCATGGCAGTAGAAGGACAACCATAGCGAGCAATTGTTTCACAGACCATGACACAGCATAAATGGTCCTCCCCCAAACCTCCCATCTCCTCAGGCACAATGAGACCTAAGAGTCCCAGTTCAGCTAAGGCATTCAAGGATTCTCTAGGATACTCGTATTCTCGGTCACATTGGATCTGTTACAAAGAAAGTGGTCAAGAATGTATCTTAACTTAACACTTATTGCCTTTACTGTCTGTCAAACATTCATTGAAAAATCTAATTACTTTCTGTTTAATTTATCTGGGTCAATCCTATCTATTCAGGCAGTAATGCAGTGAACAACTTTTCAGCAATGTGAAGAAACATGCAGAACAAGGGCGTCTGCTGGAAATTTTCCAAGGGGGGGAGTGAGGGGGGGGGGTGGGTGCAAGGGGATATAGGCAAGCCCCCACAGTCAGGCTCGGTAGGGTAATATTTTTGTGGTTTGTTTTTTCTTCCCTTCGTTTTGGTTAAATTTTAAATCCCCCCCCCTTTTTTTTTGGGGGGGGGGGTATTTGTTTCTTATATATTTTGACACAAGCCTGATCCAGTGGGGGCAACTACCCCCTCTTGCCCTCCCCCTAGCGGACGCCCATGATACAGAACTGCAAAGATCACAATAGTTCAGCATGTAGTTACCCAAAAAAGTATCGTTACCCATGGGGTTAATGTGGATCTTGGTTTTATGAGAAGTGTTAAGCTAGGATTCCATTCATGCGTTTGCAGTGCGTTTGCGTTTTAAATTGCTACAGGGAGCGATTGGCATGTACTGCAAACGCATAATGCTAACGCAACCGTGCCAATGGAAACAACCGTGTACATTTCAATGTGATCTATTTTGGGCGCTAATGTTAACGCGTCGAATCGAATCGAAAAATGCTAGTGACAGGGGGGAAGGAGGTTCAGGAGAAGAATAAAGGGAGGATTGAAGTGAATTTTAGGAGGAGAGAACAGATGCAGTGGCTAAACACCGCTTGCGTGAGGGATTATAAGATGGAGGCAGCAGCAGCAACTCGCCTGGACGCGGCAGGGAGGCGACAAGACAAAGCCAGGCTAGCGTCAGGTCAAGCGTCAGGTGCGTGTTGGGTTGGGCAATGGATGTTCAGTGCTTGGTCGGCTTGATTGTGTTTTGGTTTCTTGTGTGGAGGGGATGTCTTGGTCTTCTTAGCTTGATGTCGATTTTCTTCTCACTCTCCTCCTCTTCTTGCTCTCTTGGAGTGTCCATTCGTTTGTGTTTGGGTCTTCTTGTTCGTCTTCCTCGTGTATTAAGTCCTCATAGGTGTGGAAGAAGTCAGAGAGGGTGAGGTTGACCTCGTGGGCTTCAGCACCACGGGCCGCGTGGGCTTCAGCACCACGGGCCACGTGGTGTTCTTGGTTCTGTGTGGTGGGCGGCTTCTGTTGAGTTTTCTTTTCTTGGTTTTTCTTTACTGCTGGTTTTTTCTTTTCTTGGGAGCGTACAGCAAGGAGGGCCTCTTTGTAGCTCAGTGTTAACGCGTGAAGGGAATCCTAGCTTTATAGTGCGTTTTTTCCCAGCTGAGAAGAGATGCCCCGCCCCTTCCTCAAGAGTTACAACTGATTGGCTGTTACAAATGTGTCCGATTTCGTCCTGAGGTAATGATGTATTTTTAAATGAGTATATTCATAATCGTTGGGATGACCATTCCTGGCGAGAACGATAATTAGCTAAATTATATAAAGATACATACATTCATTAATTCAAGCATAAGCACATAGGCAGTTTATCATAAACCTCATTACATGAATTAACTGTTAAACTCTGGTAACAAATTCACACTCTCGGAGGACGCATTTAATATATACTTATTTTTATCCGCAATACGGCATCCTAAATAAACACCTTATGACAAATTACGTATCAGTAATACTACATTATTTCTCAGCCTTTCGCGAGGTACGCTATTGAAAGCCTTGGCAAAATCTAGGTATATATTGTCGATATTGCCACTGTTACAGAATTTGGGTTCAAACATCCAGTACTTTGAGTAATTGTGTTATGCAGAAGCTCCCCGGCATAAAACCGTATTGGCAATCCTTTACAAGATTGTTTCGAAGCAGATGTTCTATCATGGCATCTCTTATAATGTTCTCCAGTACTTTACATACTACGTTGGTCAGGCTCACCGGTCTATAATTATTCGTAGAGTTACGATCGCCCTTGTTGAAAATAGGATTCACGTAAGCCATTTTCCAATCACTGGGGACCTTCTGCTCATTCAGGTATTTACAAAACAGGATCTTCAGGGGCTCAGCAAGATCGTTACACAACTCTCTTAGCACTGTGGGATGCACCATGTCAGGGCCGGGACTCTTATGAACCTTCTTTAGCTTTGACAATGTATTTTATATCCTCTTCTGGGACCACAATGAGGGTCAGCCCTGTGTCGAGCCGCGTTTCCTCACCCGCAGGAAAGATTGTTCACATCCTCCCATGTGAACACCGAGGAAAAGAAGCTGTTCAACACCTCCGTCTTGTCCTGATCCTAATCTTCGCAACTACCATCTTGAAGCCTCAGGTCCGATACACCTACTCGTGTTTTTTTTATATTTTCGACTTTGCATAGCAGTAAAACGCCTTGGGGTTTGACTTGACCTCACCTTGCAATCTGCCTATGGAACTCTTTTTCAGCCCTTCTACACTCTGACTTTGCTTGGTTCCTGAATCTGGCATACATCCTCCTGTCCTGTTCATCATTTGTCCTAACCCACGTCTCGAATTTCTTAGTTTTCTACTTCTTTGTCCATTGCCGCATAGTTCATGTGTAGTGGTCTCTTTGTATTCCTGGGGGCACTGGGTATGGTCTTGGGTATATATTTATCGATCAAATGGTTCACTTTACTAGCTATGATATTCAGCGTAGTGTCTGCGTTCTTATACCTTAGTGAGTCAGGACTGTGGATACCCCCTCATCTCCTCCCTCATTCCGTCGTAATTTCCCTTGTAATATTTTAACCTTGGCCTGGTTTTGTCGTGAACCAAGTACCAGTTAAATCTGAAGGACAACGTTACTTAGTGACTGGTACCAACGGGGGCTAGGTGTTCCAGCTTGGCCAAGGAAGGTTCAGAATGTCTGGGTGTGGAGTATAGAAATGTGAGGAGGACGCCAGAGGATAGGATGACAAGGAGAGTTTATAAATTCAGTGCAGCAGATTTAGGAGACACCTTATGTGTGAGAGGGAAAGGTGGAGCAAGAAAGAATCGAGCTGGAGGGAAGGAAAAAGAAATATTTACTGTAGACTAGCCTAGAGGTCCTCGTGGCCACCTCCTTAGATGATAGCTTCCCCAGGACAGTAAGGTGTAACAGATAAAGAGGAATTCTTGAATATGACCCACTGTATTTTATGTTTGTTTTTTTTCAACTGAACAAACATATTCAGTGGTATATTAAGTGAAAAAAATGATCAGTGCAATAGCTGAACTTACCGCATTGGGTCTGATTTTAACCCTACAGAGCTCTATGAGGTCCTCTTGAATCTTCTTCTGCTTCTCTGTCAGCACCCAGTCTGGGTCAAACTCGTTCCCCAGGCCCCAGTACTCCCCGCGGCCCCACTTCTTCATCTGCAAATATAGCAATGTGTCCTAAAGAGACTGAAACTTAAAAGAAACCGGCTTAAAGCTAAGAGAAGCTATGAGATTGATCACGTGGAAGTCAAAATGATGTAAAGTACGCATGTGAAATTTCGGGTTTTGGGTCTGAGTTCGGCTACACAATTTAGGTTAAAAGAGAAAAAATGGATAAGTAAGGATAGGGGTAATAACGAGGCAATTCTATTTATTTCATATATGCAATCATTTATGTAATACAAATACAAAAAAGTGTCATATAACTTTCAATGTCCTATACAGGCTATAATAACACACTGATCTACATATTGTATATAAAACCCGTGTATTTTTTTTAATGTTTACTTCTTAATACCACTAATATACTGTACAGTACGATATAAATAAATATCATAGATCACATAATAAATAAATTGAGGATAAAAAGTGGCAAATGAAAAAGAGTTGATGGTAAATCAGGCAGATAAATTATTGGGTCTTATAAGAAGGTCGTTCAGATATATAGACGTCCCTCGTAACGATCTTCAAGAGTGAAGTGCTTCCCCATCTGGAGTACTGTCACCCCGTCTGGTCCCAGAGATATGCTAGGGACTGTCAGTTGGTTGAAAATGTTCAAAGGAGGGCCACCAGACTGGTGCCTGCACTTCGGCACCTCAGCTACCCTGAGAGATTAGAGCGCCTGAACTTGCCTAGCTTATACTACAGACGGGCAAGGGGTGACCTAGTTGAGGTGTATACGCATCTCAAGGGGCACTACTCAGTCGAGTGTCCTTACTTGGAGCTGGCGGACGCTCGCCCCACAAGGGGTCACAGCTCAAGATTGAAGAAGCCGCAAGTCCAGAAAACTGTGAGGGCAAACTTTTTCGAAGTGAGAGTTGTGAACTCTTGGAACAATCTACCAGAAAGTGTTGTGACGGCACCGAGTGTGAGCTCTTTCAAGACCAGACTTGACCAACACTGGAGCGGGTGCATGCCCAGTACTTGCCAACAGTGCGTGACAGAGACGTGACCGATTGCCCGGGCGGCTAGCTAGCGGATCTTTTGGTGAAGAGGATAAAAGAAAAGGAAAAGTAATCAGAGACGTGACCGATCGCCCGAGCGGCTAACGAGCCGATCAGGGGTGAAGAGGGTAAAAGTAAAAGTTATACACAGATATATTAACAAGATAGGACAAAAATAGAGTAAATAAAAATGTCACAAATCCCCCCTCCCCCCAACACTGTCCACCTGCGAGAAGTAGAATTAGACATTGTGCCTCTCACAATCATTACATGAACCAGGACAGTTAAGGGCTTTAAATGGGAATAAGATTAGTAATTTGCTTAAAATTAACACCTTGCATGTATATTGTGATGGTTTAGTTGTGTCAAGTGGCAGGGCTGGGTGTGGGAGCCTTATAAGACAGTACACAGAACAAGGTACTGATAACACCAAAATTGGACTCCGGCTGAGCATTTTTATACTGTATCATCAACACAAGCTGAGTTATATGCAATGTTAGTAGGATTGGAAAGTGTTGTAAAGAGGAATAAAGATGCATATTTTTTTGCTGATAGTAGGGCAGCTTTGGATTCTTTGAACAGCGGGAGTCCAGTCTTAGAACACATTATTGGTTCATGTAGAAAATTAGTGAATACAATAAGGAAAAAAGGCCATAGTGTTTGATTTGTATGGGTCCCTTCACCTGTGGGCATTGGTCTTAATGAAGCAGTAGATATAATAGCAAAAAGAGCCACAGAAAAGTCTGAGATCGACATAATGTGTATTAAAACTTTGAAACAATTAAGGAGCAAATTGCGGAAAATAAAATCAATAGAAGATAATATAAAAAGGAATGAAATGTATGAGAAAAGTGAAACAATGAAACATTACCATCATGTTCTCATGAACACAAATTTTACAGATGGCAAAGATAGGAGCAGGTGGAAAGATTCAGTGTATATGAGGTTAAGATTAGGATATAAATATTACTGAATGCCCATTGCTTAATGTATATAGAAATGTCCAGATAAATAATGTCTCCAAACAAATAGAGTGGATGTTTAAAAATAGGAAAATATATGAAATATTAAAGAAATATAGAAATTTTGCATCAAGACTATAACTGTACGTACAGTACTATAATTGATTATATGAGATATATCTGTACTGGGGATTTATGTGAGTCCTATGAGGGACATTCCTGGACTGGGGTGGGGATGACTTATGTCACTTCATCCCTTTGAGATGTATTTACTTTTTTTGTATCGCAATAAACCTATCAATCGGCTAACGAGCCGATGAGTGGCGAAAAAGATAAAAGTTAAAGTAAAAGTATGACAGGCTGAGTTGTCCACGCACAGTTCATGTGGTCCGGCGGAGTGCATTAGAAGTCTGGTGACTAGGCGACACTAAACAGATAACATATTGTAATTATGTAACTAACGCATCACGAAAATTGTGACCAAGTCCCAGGTTGCTGATGTGACTTTCTGCCTCATTTACACACAATTGCAGGGTCTCAATTGTTTCTCTTACTATTGACAACACAACATAATACTGTATATTGTATCTCACTTTTGATGTTTTTTTTTTCATTTTTGTATCTCTTTATGGTTCTTTATTATAATAATAATAATAATACTTATTATTATTATTATTATTATTATTATTATTATTATTATTATTATTATTACAGCGTTGTTATTATTATTAGTATAATTTTTACTTTATTTTCAAATTTTTATCATGAATTTTATTTACAATGAATTATCATTATTATTATTATTATTATTATTATTATTATTATTATTATTATTATTATTATTATTATTATTATTACCCCAGGCCCCGATGTGGGTCAGTGACCTGTGCCCGGGTGAGCTAATCCCCGAATTATGATATGTCGACCAACCTGAGTCTAATTTGAATATACCACTAAATTTAATGGAAACGATGAAGAAATTAATTTCTGACTTGAAAATCAAAAGCGTTTTAACATGAGTGAAAAAAATTATTATTATTTGTTTTTAATTTTAGTAGTTTTATATATCTGGAATTACAACAGACAGTTTCTACAAATGTTGCAGTCATCAGCTGTCTTCCACACTCGCAGAAATAAATCATGAATTATTCTTGCTCTGTTCCTGCATTGACAAACAATAAATAGGCAAAACTAAACGAAATTTTTCCGAAGTTATAAAAAAAACTAAAATTTTCAATGTTAAAATTTCGGCTACAAGCCATTTCCATGCTTGTTCGTTTTAAAAACTGAAGCTTCACCAGACGTATCTCAATGTACTCGTCAAGGTTTTGCCCGAATTCTACTGGTCAGAGATTATCGTGAGCGTGTAAAAGCCCTGACAATCACGGGGTGCCAGGTAACCTGAACACCCGCTGTGGTAGATATGGAGAGCTGATAAGTAGGTCACACAAACATGCCTTGCCCTCAAGTGGTAATGTGACGGAGATAAGATAATTAACAGAAGTACTTTGATCGTAAAAATAACGTTGAAAATTATAAAAGGGAAGATGAATATGATACCGTGATCGTAATTGCATAGATAAAGGAAACTTCAGATGGCTGTACATAATGCACGTGTAGAATACGTTGATGCAGTATGGCGTTCTTATTTGAAGTAAACATGGATGCTGCTATAGCGTGCGGTGACTGAGGTCTACCGAAAGTCAGGCGAGGATAGGTTAGGTTAGGTTAGGTTAGCCAGATACATTGGCAGACCACACACAATAGTAGCACCTAATTATGCATATTGTGGAGACACTAGACAACTGAGTGATCTTTGACCCAATATATCGTGTGATATTTAAATGCTCTAACACATTTCAGCCTCCCTTACATGACGTGCTTCGGGTGGGAGAATAGAGAAGGTATTTGTTGAACTTACAAAGACAATAAACGACCATTACGCGTATTGTGCATTAAAGTGAACGTCAAAATAATTTTACTAATATAGAATCATTGGTATCGCACGTCTGGAGGCTAAATATTATAATAGGGTAATAATTTCGCGATGAAAATTTAACATATTCTGCTGATATAAGAATTCGAGATCGCAAAGATTAGTCAGCATTACATATATCATTGATCATCCTACTACTTGCTCTCTCTGAGGTTGCCCTCTCCAATGGACAAGTGCCTCCCTCCATTTAATAATCCTGGAATCGCCATGTACATTGCAAATACAATTCATTACTCTCCATTTACCTGAGCTTAAGTAACGTTCAAAGTACAGTAAAACAAATGCACTTTTACTTTTACTTTTAACCTCTTCGCCACTGATCGGCTCATTAGCCGCTTGGGGAGTCGGTCATGTCTGTTACGCGCTGTTGGCAAGTATGCACTGGCTCCTGAATGCATCTAAATCTGTTCCAGTGTTGGTCAAGTCTGGTCTTGAAAGAGCTCACACTCGGTACAACACTCTCTGGCACGTTGTTCTAAGAGTTCACAATTCTCACTCCAAAAAAGTTTTCTGGACTTGTGGCTTCTTAAACCTTGAGCTGTGACCCCTTTGAAATGTTTATCCATCTCAATTAGGTCAACGCTTGCCCGTCTGTAGCATAAGCTAGGCAGTTAAAGGCGCTCTTATCTCTTTGGATAACTGAGGTGCCGGAGTGTAGGCTCTAGTCTGAACATTTTCAATCAACTATGGAGGAATGTTTGCATAACCAGGTAAAGGCATGGCTTTCATTAAACTGGAATTAAATTAAAAGTGTGAGAGAAACAACATTTTATTCGGCAGCAACAACACAAAAAGTTTATCGAGACTATGAATGGTCAAATATGACAAAGATACCTAAGAATGTGGTCCATTTTCTGTTTATTGGACTTGCCTGTCTTCGGTACACGACCCCCGTTGGGGGGGGGGGGGGTTGGCTACGGCACTGGTCCTAGGGCAACAAGGAACTAGGCAGGTGTAGTGAGCCTTCATTGTCAATTTATTGATATAAAGACGAGCGAGAGAGACGTAACCAATGGAAGGACAATGCCACAAGAG